CTGAGCTTTAGCTTCACAACAGCTCTGCCCTTCACTTCCCAGCCTGGTGCCCTTGTGAATTTCCATCTGGGAGCCTTGGCTCTGTTCCCAACACCCACACTTTGCAGGAGTTCCCCATGATGTGATGTTCTCCTGCCTGGACTAATCCCTTTGCCTCTCAGCTCCAGCTGGAGCCCAGAATCCTGGCAGTTGTTCAGGACCCTTTGCCAGGGAATGGCCCCACCCAGGGATTCCTGCTCTTTTTCCCTCACATTTTCCATCCTTTTTCTGCTCATGTTTTGCACCCTTTTCTCCTCACCTTTCTAGAGCTTTCCTGCTTCTTAAACACCACCTTTTCATCATTATGCCATCTCCATTTTTTCACTCCTCCCCCCTTTTTCCGCTGTCCTTTTTTCCCCTTTTTTTTTGCTCCATTTTTTCCCCTGCTCTTTTTTGCTGCCTTTTTGCCCCCTTTTTTCCTCCACCCTTTTCCCCCTGCCTTCTTTTCCTGCCATTTTTTGCCACCTTCCCCCCCTCTTTTGCCCCCTTGCACATTTTTGCCACCCTTTTCCCCCATCTTTTCTCTTGCCTTCTTTCCCCATCTTTTTTGCTGCCTTTTTTTTTTTCCCCAGCCCTTTTTTTGCCCCTCAGATGATGGAATAAGTTGTTTCTACCAATTTAAACCCTAAAAATAAGGCACAACAGAGACTCCTTGTCAATTTAAACTGAAAGATGATGCGCTAGATTAAATTAGAATATATTCCAAAACTATTTGGCCTTATAACTGCAGGTAAGGTTAATAACCCTCAAGAATGAAAAAAACCCCGAAATCTGGTCTGAACTAATTTGTCTGTGGGGTTTGGAGGGGCTCTCCTGGGGATATGTGGGGGTGGTCTGTAGGATTTGGGTGGGGGGCTGAGGTCTGGGGGTACCTCTGGGACTCCTGCTCTTTTTCCTTCATATTTCCCATCCTTTTTCTGCTCATGTTTTGCTCCCTTTTCTCCTCACCTTGCTAGAGTTTTCCTGCTTATTAAACACCACATTTCACCATTATGACATCTCCATTTTTTAACTCTTTTCCACCTTTTTCCGCTGCCTTTTTTCCTGCCTTTTTTTTTTTAATCTTTTTTGCCACCTCTTTTCCACCACTTTTTTTTCTCCATTTTTTCCTCTGCCCTATTTTGCCGTCTTTTTTTGCTGCCTTCTTTCCCCCCTGCTTTTTCCCCTGCCTTTTTTTCCCCATCCTTTTTTGCTGCCTTTTTTTCCGTTTTTCCCCCACACACTTCTTTTCCACCATTTTTGCCACCCTTTTTCCCCCATCAGTTTTGCCACTATTTTTTCCCCACCCTTTTTGGACGCCTTTTTTTTCCCCCCGCTTTTTTTGCTGCTTTTTTTTCCCAGCCATTTTTTTTGCCACTCAGTACAAATCCCTAAATTGATGGAATCGGTGGGAGTTTCTACCAATTTAAATTCTAAAAACTAAGGCACAACAGAGACTCCTTGTCAGTTTAAACTGAAAGATGATGAAAATTGAAGGTTTGCTCTCATTTCAAACCAATAAAATCACATCATAAAGGGTCTTCCCTGATCTATTTCAGCAAGAAAAGGGGGATTCCCCATCCATTGATATCCCTGAAATCATGGCCAAGGCAGGGTTTCTTTCAGTTGATAACCTTAACATTGCATGTGAATGGGAATTCCCCAGCTTAAACACAGACAATAAGGAAAAAAACAGTTAAACAACTTTATATTTTGGACAGAAATCCATTGAAAGGGAACCACACCACACCTCTCTTCCCTAATGAATTCCATCAGGCTTCCTTCACTAAAACTCTCTCACAACTCAAAGCGGAGATGCCTCGTGGGTTACCTCAAAGCAGTGGAAGAGGCAGCATGGAAATGCTTCTTCCATGGCAAACTCTCCTGGGAGCACTTCCAGAGCCCTGAAGGGCTCCACTGTGAAGCTGCTGAAGAAATGGAAATAGTTGGGATGAGCACAGCCCCAGAGAAATCCCAGCCCCACTGATGGGAAAGTCAGATTATCCAAGCAGCAACATCAGCTGGAGTGTTTGCAAAAGAGCAGCTTTGTTCTGAACCTCAGCTTAGGAGTTCTCCTCATGCACTGCAAGAGTCCTTCCATCTGTTTGGACCTTTTGTACAGCACAGGCCACACAGCAGCTAAATGGGATCATGTTCTTCAACTCAGTCATGTTTTAAAGTATCTAAACTTGATCTAACTACTCATCAGTGAGAATTTTATGTATTTCCAGTGTAAATTACCTTCCCTGGTCAAACACAAACCCTTCCCAAGGTTCAAGTACCTCTGTTTTCCACCACTAACTGCTCTTTATCATTGTCTGAATCAAAACACCTCTGTTAATCCCATTTTTCCACCACAGATTTGTCTGAGTCTCTCACCTCTCAGCAGTCCAAATTCCTTGAAATTTGGCAGAACCTTCTTTAGAACTTCCCAGCTCTTGCTGTCCATCTCTAATCCCTGTCCAACCTGCCAGTGCTCTCCCTGAACTGCTGACAAAGTAAATGACACAGCATCAGTGGAGGACAACTGACTAAGTGCTGAATGCAAAAGAAATAAAGAGAAATTAAGAAAAGAACAGGCCTCCCGATTAACTAGAAGGAAAAAGAAAGAAAGAAAAGAGAGAGAAGAAATAAAAAAAAGAAAAAAAAAAAAAAAAAAAAAAAAAAAAAAAAAAAAAAAAAAAAAAAAAAAAAAAAAAAAGGAAGAAAGAAGAAGCTTTGCCTTCTTCTCTGAGAACAGAAGCACATGAGCAGCTTGCACCCCTGTCACAGCAGCCCAAGCAGCTGCCGAGCTCCCCGCCTGCTCCCCGCGAGCGGCTCCAGCCCGGCGGGCACTGCAGAGAAATCTCCGCAGCCGGCGCTCCCGGGCCAGCCCTGCCGGGCACCGCCGCTCCGGGCACCTTCCAGTCGGGGTTTCCCTCCTGGCAGCTCCACTCTTGCCTCTTCCAGAGCAGATTGCACAGTGCCCCGGTGCTTTGCTGCTGGGAGCACTGGGAGCGATCCTGGGAACGCTGGGAGGGAACTGGGAGCACAGGGAATGCCAGGAGGGAACTGGGAGGGAGAGTGGAAGCAGCGGGAGTGACCAAGAAGGAGCACTGGGAGGGATCTCAGGAGCCCTGGGCAGGAATGGTGCTCCCAGTTCCTGCCCAGGGCTCTCCCCATCCCTCCCGGGGCTTGCCAGGAAGAGGGACACTGGCAGGGAACTGGGAGGGAACTGCTCAGCACTCTGCAAGGTGCAGCAGCCCCAGGGGTGAGCAGCGAGGAGGGGGAAGTGCCCCCAGTCCCTCCCCAGTGCCCCCAAAAATGGGGGGTTACAAGAAATGGGATTTAAATGAAACGAGGAAAGCTTTTCTGTGTTTGAAGTTGGTAGGTTCCTCATGCACCACAGGAGCCTCAGCTCAGATGGGGCTTTCCACAGAGCCCAGAGATCTTATCCTGGAGCTCTGAAACCACAGGAGAATCAGGAGCCAGCCCTGGGTCAAGGCACAGCAGCCCTGCTGAAACAAGAGAAGGGACCAAAGGCTGAGGAGGCAGTGCAGGGAAGGGACCAAAGGCTGAGGAGGCAGTGCAGGGAAGGCTGCAGACAGCCTGTTCAGAGAGAGGCACCTGCAGCTGCAGAACAAACCAGAGATGCCAAAGTGACACGTGTCTGTGGGCAGTTACACAAAGATGTGCCAAAGTTTGTGAAAAGCCAGCTATAAACAAGGTAATGACATCTTATGAACAATGCCTGTTCTAAAAATCAGTGAGTCCACCTGATGGAACCAAGACATCAGCAGTGACTGCCTCAGGAATTTGAGACAATATTCTCCCAGCATTCATGGATCCATAGCAATGAAACACTGAAGAGCTCCCAGTGGATCACAGCCATAGTGCAGAACAACCCCCACTCTGCTGTGTTATCTGTGGGAGATAAAACAGAAGAGATGACAAGGAATGATGCTGTTGGGCAGTGCAGCACTGACACCTGTGCAGTCTGTGAGAGGATCGAGGGCTCAGCAAACTGTGTCTTCTTCTGTCCAAGGGCAGGTGTTTGTCAGTGTTCCATCACTGCTGTTTCTGCTGGATCTGTCTCATCTCTAGAAGGAAATAACTGCATCTTCCAATGTAAACAAATATATTGAAACAAAATTAACTTGGGATTTAAAATTAATTGCAGTGCAATGTCACCTCAGCAGCATTAGAGCTACACTTAAGAGAACTTACAGTTAACATCTTTAATACTGAATAAAAACCGATCTTATGACACTGGAATAGAAGATGAAAAGGGTTAAAGTGAAGAAGACTGAAACTTGACCTTGTCCAAACTCAGCAACACTCAAACCTGACAGAAATACACCTCAACTTAAATGACTCTTAACAAACTTCACTCAATAGAGTAATAAAACATAACTTTACTCAGATATAACTTTGCTTAATCTTAGCAACACTAAAATCATAACCAAATAAAACAGAACCGAACTAACAATCCATATCCTTAACAGTCCTGGGTACTACAAAATGTAACTTGTTCTGCTGCTATTAATACCAAAAGGCACTGAAAATGTGAACAGAGCGTGGCTGAAATAATGGCATGATGGATTTACTGGAGGGATCAGAAAAGTGTGGCAAATGCATTGACCCTATGTAGTTTAACATTGAGAAAGACTCAAGGCAACAGCAAATTTTATGGAACCATAACTTTACTAAGACTTTTTAAAGCGCACTTGTACCAAAAGAAACAACAATGTGGAATTTAGCAAACTGTTCAACAAACCGTGAGCTTCTCGAGATTGTGTTCAGTGTAATAGCGCATGGTAAATGTTATCAGCATTTCTGTTAACGAAATTAGATTGTCGTGTGCTGCACATAATCACAAGGCAATGCAGTTACCGCTTTGAATCTCTCCAGGAACAATTCTCAGAGAAATCAGAGGTCAGTACAAACGCAAGGTTAACTTTAAAAAGCATTTCGGCACATTTTTACGGCATTCTAGCCGGGGCTGCGGGCAGCGCCGAGCTCCCGGAGGCTGCGCTTGTCTCCGCAGCTGCTGCCGCAGCTCTGGGCAGCGGGGACAGCGCAGCCAGAGCTGGCAGCGCCCTCCTGAGCCCCGGGCTCCCGCAGGGCCGGCAGCAGCAGTGACCTCTCTGCGTGTCCCTTGCAGGGTGCCATCAGCGCGGCTATGAAGCTGTTCCCGAGGCCGAGCTCCCAAAGGATCTGTCAGCACTCCTGATGTCTCGGGAGCAAGGCGCTGTTTGTTTCAGGGAAACAGATTCTGGCATTGGGCAGGAGGGGAGTGAATTCTGTTCCATTACTGGAGTTGCGAATGAGGCCCGGGACGAGGGATCAGCAATATGGAATATACACAAAAGATTGCTGGGTGAGTGCAGGGCCACCCCTGTGGTCTCTAGGGAGGGGACAATGTCCCTTCCCAAGGCCAGGGCTAGCAGGTGTGTGGCTGTTTCCCGAGGTCTGGAAGAGGCCTCGTGCTCTGCTGGGCCCCAGCAGTGGCTGGAAGCAGCAGCCCCAGCTGCCCCCAAGGCTGTGCAGTTCTCCTGCCGCAGCCTGTCCCCACGGCTGTGTCCCTGGCTGTGGCCAGAGCTGTGTCCCTGCCTGTGGCCAGGCTCTTGGCTCTCTGGCTGCCAGCTGAGTGAGGGCCACACTGGCTGAGGGGTCCCTGCTGTGCTCCCTGGCCATGGGCTGAGCAGATTCCAGGGCCGGCTCTGCTTCTGGCAGCCAGCAGCTCTTTCCTGCTCCAGGTGAATGGATCAGGAGCCATCCCGTGGGCACGGCGGTGCTGATTCTGCTGCTCCTGGTGCTGCTGCTGGCTTTGGGGGTGGCCTTGGCTGTGCTGGCAGGTAAGGGAGGGGCAGCAGCCTGGGCCCAGCCCCTCGGGGCAGAGCGGGCTCCCTGCTCCCTGCAGAGGGGAATCCTCACACCTTCTCCTCTTCCCCTGCAGCAGCAGCAGCAGCACAGGTTCCAGTGACACCCGATGCTGCCTGGAGTGACATGCAGTCATTCTATGTGAGAAACACAGCTCTCTATTTACACTTTTTATAAAAGTTAACTGAGGGATAAAAGGGATAAAATCCTCCTCTGGGATACTTGGCTATTTCCACACGATTAACTTAAACCATGTTCTCTATATATTTTTGCATTATAGGGGGCACATCCATATTTTTCATATTTACATATTCAAACATTCCTTTGAGTTAACATGTTCTTTTGTTTTTACTTTGGTTTTACTTTTTGGTTTTAACTTTGACTTGTCTTCATGTCATCTTGTAAATTAAACTAATATATTTTATTTTTTCTTGTGATTCTATATTCTTGTATTTTCACTCCCTGATAAAGAGGGAAAATAAATTGTTCTCTTTCTTTAAGTGCTCTGGTTTCTGTTATTTTGTCTTTCTGATAAGAAAGTCCCTGAATGTGGGAAATCACTTAATTATTTTACACCATTTTCTGAATTATTTACAAGAAAAAATTATTTCAACATTTCACAGTCTCTATTATGCTACACTATGTAATAGTATGTATTACACCACTATTTATAAAAGCTATAGGGAGCATACATAAGCTGACAGATTATACTGTATCAAAAGCAGTAATTACATTGTGTACTATATCAGGATTTTTGTGATCAATAATAATTTGCAAAACAAAAGTTAATACATAAATGCAAAAGCCAATAATTATGCTTGTTTTTTACAACATTATACAACAAGCTTGATCGAGAAATCCAAATCACCCTGGGCTCTTGGAAATCATCACAAACTGGCCTGAAGGTGACACTTTTGGACTGTCCTTGGAAGATGTGAGAAATGACCCTCACTTTTAAAATTTTACAGGTTTATTTAACCTTAACCAAAAAATACAACAATGGACAGAATAAGGAGAAATAGCAGTGCTGGGGGTCTCTGTGACTGTCAGCCATGTGCTCATTTACAAAATGCATGCTCTGCCTTTTATACCCTCAGCCCCTCCCAAAGCTTTGTCAGTCAGTATCATATTTCTCTTTTAAATTGTTAATTATCATATTTCTCTTTATCTTTCTAAGAAAAAAAGGGTGGGTGTCGTATTCCATTTTGTTTAAATGGAAGGAGCCCGGCCCGGGGCAGGGCTGCCCGGCCCGGCCCGGCCGACACGGGGGCTGGGTCGGGGCCGCCACCTCCTCACCGACTGGAAAAGAAAGACGAGGTTCCTGGCTTTTTTCGTCTTTAACATGTGTGTTTTACAGAGCCGTGTCCAGCTTCTCAGCGGTTCAACAGAAATTTTCCTCCTATTCCAAACCAGAACAACTACTGAAGCACACAAATCCTAGGATTACTACTACAAACTGCAGAAATTACTGGATATTCTTTTCTGCTGGCAGTAAGAGCAAACATGTCTAAAGGTTTCTTTGTATGGAGAGCAGCTACAATGAATGGTTTCAACATCAAAATCAACTGGAAACTAACGATTTCAGCTGAGGCGTTAAGATCCAAAGTGCAGTGTTTATTTCTTTTGCTCAGTCACATTTTCAAGATGAGTCACACAAATCAAACTGCCCCAGGCCAAGTTACATTGCACTGTGAGACTCGGCTTTTCCAGGGAGAGGAGGGAGGAGCAGAAGCTTTGAAAAGCTTTGCCAGCTTTCTTAGCAAAGCTTTGCCAACTCTGTCCTCTCACAGTAATGACCTCCTGGTACTACTGACAGTAAGCTGCTACAAGAGCAGATTGAAAATTAGTGTGAGAAACCACCCTGACTTTCTAAATTTTAAAAAGGTTTATTAAACTTGACAAAAACTACAACAAAGGACCGAATGGTGAGAAAGCACAGCGCTGGGAGCCCAGCCCTGCCCTGCCTCCCGCGGTTTGCAGCCTCGCAGCTCGGTGACAAAAGTGCCTGCTCTCCCTTTCCACCCTCGGTGTTGCACAGGTAACCCTGGCCCTCCCAGAGTCTCTCAGCAGCGGACAGACGTGCTCGCTGTCCCTCGGTGAAGATGCTTTCTTGCACCTCGGCGGGAGGGCAGGCGCTGCCAGGCCGTGCCTCTCAGTGCCCAGCCTGCCCTTCCCGCAGTGCCCGACTGCTGGGGCTGTCACAGGGGGAGGGGAAAGGCAGTGCGGGCTCGTGTCAGAGTAACATCACTGTACAGCTTGACACCCACACGGTATCTGCCTCTTAATCCTGAGAGCCAGTGTTACACTCTCAGTGCCCAGCCTGCCCTTCCCGCAGTGCCCGACTGCTGGGGCTGTCACAGGGGGAGGGGAAAGGCAGTGCGGGCTCGTGTCAGAGTAACATCACTGTACAGCTTGACACCCACACGGTATCTGCCTCTTAATCCTGAGAGCCAGTGTTACGTTACTGCTCTGTAACACCGGTATTCACAGAGAAACGGACCTGAAGGCAGGAAGTGGTAAAAGGGAAGAGCAAAACAAAGTACGCACTAAGCCAGTGTTTGGCAATTTTGTATTTCCTCCTTTTCTTTGGGGACTTTGTACTTGCTCTCAGGCTTATCACTCGACCCACAGCCTCTGTAAACAGCTCAACACCTCCTTAGAAGCTAACTACAGATTTCTTGGTAGAACAGGCCTCCCGATTAACTAGAAGGAAAAAGAAAGAAAGAAAAGAGAGAGAAGAAAAAAAAAAAAGAAAAAAAAAAAAAAAAAAAAAAAAGGAAGAAAGAAGAAGCTTTGCCTTCTTCTCTGAGAACAGAAGCACATGAGCAGCTTGCACCCCTGTCACAGCAGCCCAAGCAGCTGCCGAGCTCCCCGCCTGCTCCCCGCGAGCGGCTCCAGCCCGGCGGGCACTGCAGAGAAATCTCCGCAGCCGGCGCTCCCGGGCCAGCCCTGCCGGGCACCGCCGCTCCGGGCACCTTCCAGTCGGGGTTTCCCTCCTGGCAGCTCCACTCTTGCCTCTTCCAGAGCAGATTGCACAGTGCCCCGGTGCTTTGCTGCTGGGAGCACTGGGAGCGATCCTGGGAACGCTGGGAGGGAACTGGGAGCACAGGGAATGCCAGGAGGGAACTGGGAGGGAGAGTGGAAGCAGCGGGAGTGACCAAGAAGGAGCACTGGGAGGGATCTCAGGAGCCCTGGGCAGGAATGGTGCTCCCAGTTCCTGCCCAGGGCTCTCCCCATCCCTCCCGGGGCTTGCCAGGAAGAGGGACACTGGCAGGGAACTGGGAGGGAACTGCTCAGCACTCTGCAAGGTGCAGCAGCCCCAGGGGTGAGCAGTGAGGAGGGGGAAGTGCCCCCAGTCCCTCCCCAGTGCCCCCAAAAATGGGGGGTTACAAGAAATGGGATTTAAATGAAACGAGGAAAGCTTTTCTGTGTTTGAAGTTGGTAGGTTCCTCATGCACCACAGGAGCCTCAGCTCAGATGGGGCTTTCCACAGAGCCCAGAGATCTTATCCTGGAGCTCTGAAACCACAGGAGAATCAGGAGCCAGCCCTGGGTCAAGGCACAGCAGCCCTGCTGAAACAAGAGAAGGGACCAAAGGCTGAGGAGGCAGTGCAGGGAAGGCTGCAGACAGCCTGTTCAGAGAGAGGCACCTGCAGCTGCAGAACAAACCAGAGATGCCAAAGTGACACGTGTCTGTGGGCAAGCTCCCCCAGCTCATCAGGAGAGAGGAGTCTCCCTCTTGCACCATGGGCCTCCCCAGGAAACACAGTAGAACTTCTGTGCTTCCATGTCACACACGGCAGCTGCTCGAAGAGAAATCTGCCATGGTGACCATCTTCCTTCCATGTCCAGTGCTCTCACCACTGTCCATGGATCCAAACTGCTCCTTAGGTCCTTTTTAAGAATGCATCACTCAGTTCCAAGAAAATGGCTTTTTCTTACCATTTAAGACACCTGTCCTCCCCATATTCACTCCCCTGGAGTTTGAAGCTTAAGAACAGAGATCCTTCGCTGAAGGCAGAGAGCTCCACCACACCTTCCTCCCTTCCTTCCTTCTTTTCCTTCTACTTCTCTTTGCAGCTTTATCATTCTTGGTTTCTGACCAACCGCTTCCTGTAAGGTGCAGTTTGTATTAAAGGAAGGGATTGGTTTCGCCCATGGCGAAAGAGGAATGTAAGAGGAAAGTCCTGCCAAAGCTACTCTAATCATCTCCTCTAGGGCACTCTCTTTTGTTGGCATTTTCTTCACCTACTCAAACTTTCTTCATCTTTCCCATCCTCCGTCTCTTCTCAGTTCTCAGCTGAGGAAGATCAGTGTTTTTTACAACTTCCAAAAGTTCAAAGAAAGTTAAAAGCTCAGCCCAGTCTGCTGGCAGCTGGGCACCTTGCCAACCCCTTCTCCTCCTGGCCGTAGTACCGGCACAAGATACCAAATTTCCAGCCAGCACAGTCTCCATCATTCTCTCCCGGGGGTGCTGCCCAAACCATCCCAGGTCTCCTCCACCCCTGCACCTTGCAGGGGCTCCGGCCTCCCTTCCCTCAGGCCGCATGGCCTCCCCTCCCGCACCCAGACGGAGCTGGGCAGGGGAGAGGTCAGAGCAACTCTTGGAATGCTCTGATTTTAACCCCTGTGTGTTCTCAAAGACGTATCCAAGCCCCCAGTGGCTACACCAGGTACCAATTTCAAATCTGGCCACTGATTGGTCTGACCGTAACTTTCCCAAAAACTCACTTCCTGGTCAAACCACGATACAAGTGATTGGCGTTTTTCACAATTATGCTAGCAGAAGATGGTTACTAACACCTTGCTGCCTGTGCCTTAGAGAGTCGGGTTGAGGAAGGCGCGCCCTGCCCGATTTGGCAGCCTTGCTGTTTCCCCTACTGTGACCGACAGATGCAGGTTATGATCAGTGGACAAAAGGAGGCAATAAAACAAAGAGAAGGGAAAAAGGCTCCCTTTCTGAAACTGCAGTAATTGGCCCCCTAAGAGTAGTAATGCGCACAAAGAACCCGGAAAGGAAAAAGGATTGGTAAGT